AATGAATCTTCTACTGTATTATTTGGTAGCATTACTCAGAAACATGAAGCTTTGAGTGGCAGAGCCTGATATGCTGTTTTTCAGAGACAGCTGCAAAAATTTTGGTTTACTCATATATTCTAAATTACATTTTGACGCACATGTTACGAAAAAACTTTTAAAGGCCTACGCGTCGTTAAAGTTGGTATATCAGCAGATAATGTATTTAAGTTTGGAAGTGAAGAAAATGTTGAGCGATACTATGATATTGTTCCATTTCAATCACTGTGACATTGTGTATGGTCAGTATGGTTCATGTATAGATTGTAGTGACATATGTCGAATCCAAAAAGTTAAAAATTTTTGTCTTCGAATGATGTATCACATTACGAGGAGAGAAAGAATTTCCCATAAGCTGAAAGACGCGGGATGGTTGAGTATGTGTAACAGACGCAAATTACATGCTTTCACTTTATACTATAAAATACTGAAACTCAAAAATCCTGAATATTTATATAGAAAAGTTATATGTATATAGGACAGATGTGCATAACGTCAATCTTCGGAGAAACAATATGATCTATATTCTTGCACACAATGAAGAAATTTATGAAAGGTCATTTACCTACCAGATATCTCTTTACGGCAATCTCCTGGATGTTCCCGATTCCTCTACATCAATTTACACTTAAAAAAATGCTAAAAAACATTTGCTTGAGAAGTAATGAAACAAGATTTTTTTTAGAATACTTCCTAAATTATATTTGAGTTCTATTTATACCCTGATGTAACTATAGCTGAAATGTTTATTTATTTTAGTTGTGGTTTATGTGGAAGAATTGGTTTTAAGACCTAGCATAATCCATTCATTTACCTCGTTATGCGATCTGATGGATATTTTATGTTATGGTAAATAATATATTGTTATTATTATTATTTTATCGGAAAACGGATTCAGAAGAAGAGAATTCTATCCTATCCGATCATTCAGTGAATTATCAGAATTCTTGAATATGTCAAAAGATGGTTTGCAAATGTGGAATTACACATCCAAGAAACTACTCCAATGTTCTTTATTCTTCGGGAAAATGTTCTACCTGGTTGGCCAATAAAGTTTTCAGCAAGAACCAAAATTCAATTCCTAAACTGCTGATCTGTTCGAGGCTGAAATTTTGTCCTCATTGTTTTCAAATATACAGGGTGGAGCACGGAAAACAAAACAGATCGAATTTCTTCAAAACATACGTGTTTTGGAATAATGGAAAAATACGTCGATTTTCCAAGGGGGACATCTTCCTATCATAACCTCAACTGTCATACATGTTCACCCACCCCTCGGTGACTATCACCCAAACAATTTGAATAAGTAATAGTAAGTGTGACACATCGTTGAAAAGGTAATTTTATAGGGAATTCAACCATGTCAATTTTAGCTACCTAACTTTCGATTTTGGCGCCCTCTTGCGGGAAAAAAACTGTTCCTAATTTCAAATTATGATACTTCATTGGCAATGAATTTGACATGAATTCGGTGACAATGCATTATAGAGTTTTTCTAGGGGAAAAAACAAGATGGCGGCTTCACAATGGCGGACAAGATTTGCAATTATGGTCCGATTTGATTCAAAATTGATAAATGGTGGTTTTCAGGGTCGGAAATTATGAATTATTTTTAAGTACAAAAAATCAAGATGGTGGCTCTAAAATGGCGGACGAAATTTGTAATTAAGGTTCGATTTAACCCGGCACCGAAAACGAATTCTTCAAAACACATGTATTGTGAACATAATGCAAAAACACGTCAATTTGTCATACTTCTCTCCCCACCCCTTGGTCACTCATACAATTTGATTAGAGGAAGTACTACGTGTGACACAGCATTGAAAAGGTAATTCCATAAGGAATTCAGACATGTGAGTGTTCGCTACTCAACTTTCAATTTCGACGCTCTATTGCAGGAAAAACAACTGTTTTGTTTTTCAATTCACATTTTATTTGAAAGGTGATGTGAACAATTCACGAAAAAAGAATAATTCATAATTTCCGACCCTGAAAACCACCACTTATCAATTTTGAATCAAATCGGATTATAATTGCAAATCTTGTCCGCCATTGTGAAGCCGCCATCTTGTTTTCCCCCCAGAAAAACTCCATAATGCATTGTCACCGAATTTATGTCAAATTAGCTTGCGAATGAAGTATCATAATTTGGAATACGGAACAGTTTTTTTTCCGCAAGAGGGCGCTAAAATCAAAAGTTAGGTAGCTAAAATTTACATGGCTGAATTTCTTATGAAATTACCAGTCCCATACCACAGGTTTACCGTATTTCCATGGTATGAGAGACATTCCATCTGGTCGTTTACCATCATCTCGACTGGTACCTAAGGGTTCCAGAATTGCAGGAACATCCGCTGACAACATAGCTCTTTTCAATATGTCGTTCACTTGGTGATGTCGAGATATACGCCCTGCACTTATGATTCCAAAGATAATGAAACTATATGAGACTGATAGTATGATGATTAAAATACTTCAAAAGTTGATTGAAATTAAGATGAAGTAAAAATTGTGTGTTTAATTCTATATCTTGCTTGAGTGACTCCCATTACCCCCTTTTCCCCTAGTGAATTATTTTGGCAGTGAAAATAAAACATTTACGCATCAATAGAGATGCAGAAATGTCAAGTTTTTTTGACAGTTGTACAAACTTTTTTTTTTCATTCGTACTGTATTCTGCTCATTCAAAGTCACCTCCACGTGTTTTAGTCACATTTTCAAAAACGCACATGTTCTGAAGTTCAACATGAATAAGCTGAGAAACGCGAGGACAAAATGTGAACTTTTTAATTAATGATCCGACAAGTGCGAGTTGAACTTTCGAATGGAATATTACTAACAAATGTTTCAAACACTCTATTCAAATATTTAACAATTTAAATTTCTCAAATGGAAGATAGAAGTTGTTGTTTGAGATACAATAAGAAGGTAAACTAGAACTTCTGAAATGAATTACTCTTTCCGACGTGCGTTTCACCAACCAAGTTGGCGTCTTTAGGGGATAAACAAAGCTAATTGTGGACTGAACAACTCTCAATTCATATATCTAACAAGACTTTCACTGCCACTTTTTGATACACGTCAATAATTTCGTCTGAAAATTTGTGGGATTTTTACTTTTCAAAGTTTCCGCAAATGTCATCGCAGAGTGATTCAGGAAAAGGAATACAATGGGCTTCTTAAAATGGCACCTTTGTCATTATTCATCGTTCTGATGCCACACTTTGCTGTTTCCAGATTTTCGAAAGCATTCAAAAAATCTAGTGTCATGTACCGATCTCAACAATTTCAGACAGTTTCCATTTATTCTATGACCAGTCTCCAAGGCGACACTATACTTTCCCGGTCTTTGAAATCAGATGTACTGCGTGTATCGGTCAGACTAAGCGAGCCATTAAAACTTGTTTCGAAGACTTCATCATCAACCGCCGACAAAATTCGCACTCTCTTCCGCTGCAGTTTCACCGCATGACAACTATTGGTATACCGGAGCCCAAACACAACGCATTTATAGTCGAAGTGACGATATTGTGCACTCTTAAAGTTGTCGGCACTCTCAAAGACCAAAAAACCAATACATAGAAATAAACTGGCAGCGAACTAGTCCACGTGGACTGTACACTTAGCGGTTCGTATTGGAGTTTTATGATTGGCTGAAGAGTCATAAAATAAAATTATAGTCATGTCACGGTAACAAATGGAAATCGGGAATGCGGGGATGGTTATTGCCGTCGTGTTCAGTTCAGGAACTGATCGTGATTAGAGAGTTGAAATTCGATATTGGCGCAGTTATAATTACTTGAAATTTGGCGTCCTTGGACAAGTACTGATAGTAATAACGAGTGTGATAACAACGCAGACTTTCTCCAGTGTAGTGATTCCAGTGAATACGATTCGGATGCATTTGGATATTACAAGAAGTATGTTTCAATGTATATAATAATCTATATCTCAAGTTTAGTTTTGAAGGAAATAAACTGTTACAAGCAACATCAGATTTGACCAAAATTTCTTTCTCAACTGTTTGTAAAATAGTCAAAAACAAACCTTATGAACGCAAGACGCGATGTGATACAGGATTACGAAAATCTTCAGATGTTCATGTGATAAAGTCATTGAAAAAAACAATATACGACTGTTACAAAAGCAATGAGATTCCTACAACTGAAATCATAAGAAATAAATTGAATACTTCTGGCCATAACGTGAGTTGCTGTGACAAACTCTTCAGAATTGGATAAAGAAATTAGGATTCAGATTAAAATTAATAAACAAACGTCAAGCAGTTNATCTTGCTTTTTCTTCTAAAAAAACTCCATAATGTATTATCACCGAATTTATGTCAAATTAGCTTGCGAATGAAGTATCATAATTTGGAATACGGAACAGTTTTTTTCCGCAAGAGGGCGCCAAAATCGAAAGTTAGGTAGCTAAAATTGACATAGCTGAATTTCTTATGAAATTACCTTTTCAACGATGTGTCACACTTACTACTTTCCCTATTCAAATTGTTTGGGTGATAGTCACCGAGGGGTGGGGTATGAGGTATGACAGTTGAGGTTATGATAGGAAGATGTCCCCCTTGGATTACTAATCGACGTGTTTTTGCATTTTTTTTAGAACACATGTGTTTTGAAGATCTGTTTCGTTTTCGGTGCTCCACCCATATAATTGCTTGAATATCGAAAACAAAAACTACAAAACTCCAGTGTCAAATAAATCAGGAGTATATACGTTGACTTGTGGCTCTTTCTCCTGCTGATATTGCCCAATATCAGACATTTCTACCCCTGAGACCTCTGACATCAAACACATTCATGCGTATATTTGCGCTCCCCCGTAGACACAATAATTACAGGTATCTGTATAATCCAATCAAGCGCGAAGATACTGACGTTTGTCCTGTTCTTGTCCCACCACGGGCTGATAGCACGGCATAGCGCGATGTTTAAAACCGTTCGCAACTGTTTTGGATACATTATTCAAGAAAAGCCTACTATGCGCTAATACTTCTTGGACATTCAGTTTGTTGATATTTGTGAAATCGGTTTACTGACAAGTGCGGACTGTTTTTATTAGTAACAATTTATTTGTGTGCTGAGTGGGTGGAGGCGTGAAGAATGAAGGTGGAACTCAGATATAGGATTACCGGACGTGAGTTTTTTTAGTATTCTAAGGGTTGATTTGTGACTTTAATGTCGGCTCGAAGTTTTGGCTTGATATTTTCATCACGCAACTCAATTGCAGAAATATTCTTATTTCTTTTTTCCTATGAGGGATTCTGAAGATTCACAAATAATAAATTAACATTGTGAACAAAACTAAAATCAGTCATGTTGAAAAATAATGAAAAAAATTGAAAATTAATTTATTATACAAAACTTCACATCTTGTACGATATAGGTATTTATTTTCTTGAAAAAATATTTGTATATCCAAGTATATTACAAAAATATTACAATGTTTGACTTCTGCTGATTTCTGAATATTGAAAGGCTTACCCCTAGATTGCTTGCTCTTCTAGAAAGAAGTGGAATGAACAACAATTGAAAAGATTAGGCAGCCGATAAAATTTAAGTTATACTTACCTACTGTTGATCTCAAATGTAGAGCTTGTTCAAATAGGCAGCATTCTACATCTGTCAAGTGTGGTAGAAAGAAATGAGAAGTCGCAATGTTTCCGTCGTTCACAAAAATTAATACAACTACATCACTGAAAAAAAAAGTTTTTTCAAAGGATAAAAATGGATTGTTTATTAGAAGAGTCCTAATAATGAGCCATACAGAGTACCTACACGAAAAGCTGATAAATGTAATCAGCTGGATTTTTTTATAAAAAAAAACCCTTCCAATACATTATTTCAGGTAATGAATCATTTTTTCAATCAATTTTTTCATATATTTCAAGATATAAAAGAATAAGACTATACACCTTGTAGGAAACTGTTGGTAATAATTGGTGATTTTTCGTGTTTAGCTACTCCCCAAAAATTGACATTAACTACTAGAATATACCACGCAATTGCAACCTTTCTGCATCACACGTTTTGCATCGATGTGTGTAGTAACTCGAGCTAATTTTCTCGCTCAATATATTCAACTTTGCGATAATATTTATTTGAAAGACATATAATCAAATTGTATGATGTGAAAGTGAATTATAATGTTTACGAAATGCTTAAAGTAACGAAAGTATTCAGGATTTTATTCGAAGAAAAAACACAAGCACTACAGAAAAATCCTGAAGACGTTCCGAAAGCGGTGCTTGTGCGAAAGTAGCGATTCACGTTGGATTTGAATCGCTGGAGACGAAATTCATTTGGAAAAATGTTCTCAGGGAGTTTATTCCACACAATTGCAGTTCTACAAATGAAAGAGTTCTTGAACAGTGAAGTTCGAGGTGTACTGAGTTGAACCTCAAGACAGTTACAGTCCGTCGCGTATTTCTGATATGTAGAATCAAATGTGCTGAGTCACTTGAATATCTTCCGTTGAAGTAGCTATAAAAGAGTAACACATCTACCTTTCTTCGACGTTCCAGAGTATCAAGGTTGCAAGTGATGTTCGTGTCTCCAATCAGGCGTATAGCTCTTTTCTGGATAGAATCCAGGGTATGCTTGGGGGCGGAGCTTCATAATAAGATCCAAGAGAAGGTCTGATTTGAGCTTTATAAAGCATTAAAAGTTGCTAAGGTATGTACTATTTTAAGCCCCATTTCAAGCCCCAACAAACTTATCGAAGCAGAAAGCTGTCTGTCCTGGCATTATTATATCCGGTTCGGAGACAATATATTGGATTCTTGTTTTTTACCAATGAGTCATTTATATTCAATGAAAATTGGGTTTGAGGACGGTATTCGAAAGATACTCATTGACGACCACTTGCAGGGGAACGTTCTTCCAGGAAGCTGGAGAGCCATATACAAAAATTATCCGACAATCCATATCATCGAAGTTTGGCCAGCAAACCCTCGTGCCTCATACGGTCAAAGGCCTTAGAAATATTAAGCGCAACAGTTCTTGACTCTTCGTGTTTCTAAATTGCGTTATTCCAAATATGGGTGACAAACGATAGAAAATCGATCGCCTGTTAATCTTAGTTTCCGAAAGCCATATTGATGATCGCTCGAGATGTTGAAGCTTTCCAAATATTTGAAGATATTGTGATTTAAGGCTTTCTCCATGATTTTTGATATCACTAACAGCAAAGCGACTGATCTACCGTATTCATCTATATAGGTTTCCAACTACCACGTGACCATCATTTAAAACATCCAAATGGATTCAGTCAGCTGTCCTTGAAAGGTTGACATTTTTCATTGCGGATTTTTTGTAGACCTGTAAAAAACAAAATATGTAGTGAATTGTTTTGCTTGATATCGAAGGGACGGGACATCGTTTTCGATAAACTAACGGGTAGCATCATTCACAATATCAATGGATTATATACAAAAACTTTTCTTTTCTCCATCAGTAATAACCCAATGGAAATACATTCGTTAGTTTTCCCGTTAATCAAGTTTAGATATACGTGACCGACGAGGCGATTATTTTCATAATATGTAGGGATATATAATATGTTCAATATTCTCCTATCTGAAAATGAAATGGGATAATTTCCATTTGCTTTTTTTTCCTATTTTGTCGACACCAATCTGATCAAATGTGATAACATCGTTCGTTTTTTTTTAAGAACGAACTGAACGTGGCCTACAGAACAAATGAAATTTTGAGCAAAAACTATGAAGAAAAAACTTCAGTGTTAGAAATATCACCTGTATTTAAGTTGACTTTATATTGGCAAAACGGGAAGAATATTTCGCCACAGAATGAAATAGAATAGAAGTAGTTTCTTGAGAACCTATTCCACATTCGCAAACCAGGTTTTCGCAGAGGGGCAGGAGTTTAACCATGACTATGGAGCATCACATTTGAAAGAGAAAGGCTCAAAATTCAATATTTTGAGCCTTCAATAGATTCGAGAATTTGAAATATTCGCCCAATGACCAAATAGAACGGTATTACTTCTCTCTGTTGATTCTGTTTTGTAATGTGGAAACTAGTCATCAATTATCCACATGTCCATTGGATGACTTGATGAAATTTCTTTTATAATGTTTGAATTTTTGATTATTTCATGCCCTAACTCCAGAATAATCAGTCATTAAATATGTAGTTTCTTCTATAACGCTTACAGTCCGAATTAGTTTATCCCAAACTCTGGAAAAGTTATTGGTCATTAGGCTATTGCCTATTAAGCTATTGTGTCTTTTCATCGCATCTGTTTTTTTTGTGGAAATGGACTAATTTGGAGAAACGTAGTAACAAGAGAATTGTTCATGAGTGTCACTAATAATGACACTGAAAACCTCAGTCGAGAAAGCCCTAACCATTTTGTTGAATTATATTTGCTTTTTCATAACAAGAAATGTGCTTTCGATTTGAACAACAAATTGTTTCTATTCCATTTCTCTTTGAAGGTTGAAAAGGTGAATGTTTAGACTTTATACCGAATTCAAGATAGGATCAATTGCATAAAATTGAGCCCAGTCAAATGTCAGACTATAATTCATAGCATTTTTTACTCTACTCATTTGTTATCAATATACGAGTTATATCTTTGAATGATATTTTTAGAAATCCACATGGAAACAGTGTAAACACCTCTAAGGTCACTGTTATTTTCCTAAAAATTACCAAGCTGACTGGGGACAGTATTCTTCCAAATAATATATGCAAATATATATTTTAGTACTCTTGGAACTGGAGAACAAACATCCTTGCAACTTTTCCCCATACTGAAATTTCAAGAAATGTCCAAGTACGACCAACTCGTTAATCGGCAAAGAAAATAATCGCAGATTATTGAATATCATGTCTGTAACTCATTAGGAATTCAGATCTTGTCTTCATTGAGGACAGTCAGTCAATGAGCATTTTTCTGCCAGGTTTTACTATCGACATTGTTGTTTCCCTCAGTTGGTTTGTATATATACAATTACTTAGAACTTCTATCACAATCATTGATACTTATTTAACGAATTGAATTACAAATATGAAGAGTAAATACAAGATCGGAAGTTTGAGGAATGTAAATAAATTCAAAAATAAAAGTGGTGATAATTAATATAATAAGTTATATCAAATTCTACAAAAGGGTTGATAATAACTATTTTTATACGAAACTTCATATCCAGACTGAGAATAATTCAAAAATTATAATTTTGTCTCCTGGCAGATTCGCCTAAAAAATTAAACATTTACTGAAACTATTCACTCTGTTCACTTACACAGTTTGCAATGAAGAATATAATATTTTTATAGAGCAACTGAGCATCAATACACAATTATAATACAAAAAAATCTGTACGCATCCTATTTGATTAGACGATGAAATAATTTTAAAAACATTTCAGAATAAAAAAGCTCAACTAGCATCATCTGGGCCGTGAAACTGGAAAGTCAATTGGATTTTCTTATCCTTATAGTATGAGTTTGTCCCAGGTAGCGTTGTCTGGTGTTGGATTATGAATACTTTGTTTTTTGGGCTCTGGTTACATCTAGTTACCTTGCAGTGGGAGCTGCAGTGAGAAACAGAGAAAGAATCTCGTTCAGTGGTCGATGTACGATGTTTGTCCAAAACATAAGGTGATTTTTAATTTTTGCAGAAAAATATGTATTTACTCATCAATTTCTATTTTGTTCCCTTCAAAGTAGACCATTCAGATATGATACACTCATGCCAGCGTTCTTTCCAATACTCGAAGCAGTTCTGACGTGCACTTTTTTGTATGTCCTTGAACTCTTTCAGCGGTTCGGTTTTTTGTCTCCCTCCGCTTCGTGTCAGGAGACAACACAACCTCGAGCTAAAATCTAATACTTCTTTCCCTTGTATAATAAATAACTATTTTGTATTGAAAAAAGGTTCATTATGTAAGACATAAAATGAGACAAAGGCAAAGAATAACATTATTACAAATAAATAAAATTTAAAAAAATATGGATCTTATTAGCATAGTCAATAGATTTCACTTCAACATGAGTTTTAATAAATATCATTCCTGAGGAAGGCTGTCATCTAATTTAAAAAACTGCTTAGCCTCAGCACTTAATGTTTGCTTTGGTTTGTTTTGTTTTCGCCTCATGCTACTAATA